CAACACTAACTAAATAAAACTTTTCAGTTACACTTTTCAATACGCCAGAAATCGCAGATAAAATTACGATATTCAACTTATTTAATAAACTAAATATTTATGTAATTAAGTAGGTATCGTGCTCCAAAGTTCACCGTAAGATCCCTCAACAGGTATTGTAAACAGGTAGACAGATCGGTTACACTACAGGTTCACTTCACCAGGACAAGTTTATACAAGTACAGTCACCTACAGTAGTACTCCCGCCTCTCCTCCTGAACCACGAACCCCGAGATTCAGATCCGTGAATCCGAAACATTTATGGACAGAATAATGCATCAGTGTCTAATGTTTCGGGTTTACAATGGATTTCGAGGTTCATCGTTAGAATCAAATTACCATCACAACAGTTCCTCGGTCTACCAACACACACACACACACACACACACACACACACACACACACACACACACACACACACACACTACTTGTAGACGAATGAAAAAATATAAAACTCTTATAATCGCAATATACTGTTATAGGTATGAACAGATTATATGTTAATATTAGTTTATAAATATTAGTAATAACATAACACTCAAGAAATACCTACAAGTATATTATCAAGAGCTTCCCGGAGCACCTTTATAAAATCTGGAAGCCTCATTTACCGTTAACACTTTTTTTTAATGAATTATGAAGTGTAAGCGGGGTAATAAGCCCCTTTAGCTCTTAACTCTCCTCTTGGAAGCAGCACCAGACCTGATCCTGTGATTTGTCATTAAAAACGTGATAATTAAGTTCATCAAGTAATTAGCCAAGATATTTAGGCTACGTGACAGTCTTTTGTGTTAGAATCTTGGTTTCGTCATGACCACCAGGAAGTGACGTCATGACCAGGGGAGAGTGACGTCATGACCACCAGGGGAGAGTGACGTCATGACCACCTGGTGAGAGTGACGTCGCGACCACCTGGTGAGTGACGTCGCCACCACCAGGGAGACAACGGGACACTGAGGTAGTTGTCAGCCGGCAGTGGAATGACGCACCAAATATGTATGTATGTATGTATGTATGTATGTATGTATGTATGTATGTATGTATGTATGTATGAAATGAAGGCTTTTGTTAAATGAATCCCCCCTCCCTGTCAGTGCACGTGGAGTCGTTTTTGCCCATTGAATATTTTCTGCCTTTTCGTAGCTCTACACACACACACACACACACACACACACACACATTCCCTCGTGTATACAATAATATACAGTAACTATTCCTCGACCAGGGTGGGACAGGGGACCTGGTTAGCGCGTGTCAGGGTGGCGCCACCCAGCACCCGTTAACACTCGCCCTGTAACCACCACCACACCACACACACACACACACACACCCAGTTAACACTCGCCCTGTAACCACCACACACACACACACACACACACACACACACACACACACACACACACACACACACACACCAACACCGTTAACACTCGCCCTCTTAACCACACACACACACACACACACACACCAACACCCATTAACACTCGTCCTGTAACCACCACACACACACACACACCACACCCGTTAACACTCCCCCATGTAACCACCACCACACACACACACACACACACACAACACCCATTAACACTCGCCCTGTAACACCACACACACACACACACACACACACACACACACAACACCCGTTTAACACTCGCCCTGTAACCACCACACACACACACACACCAACACCCGTTAACACTCGTTATGACCACCACACACACACACACACACACACACACACACACACACACACACACACCCGTTCACTCGCCCTGTAACCACCACACACACACACACACACACACACACCAACACCCGTTAACCTCGCCCTGTAAACCACACACACACACACACACACACCCGTTAACTCTCCTAAACCACCACACACACACACACACACACACCAACACCCGTTAACACTCGCCCTGTAACCACCACCACCACCACACACACACACACATTAACACATTATAGCCCACCACCACCACCACCACACACACACCCAGAACACCTCGCCTCAACCACCACACACACACACACCCAGTTCCTCGCCTGTAAACCACACACACACACACACACACACACACACACACACACACACACACACACACACCAACACCGTTAACACTCGCCTGTAACCACCACCACACACACACACACACACACACACACACACACACACACACACACACACACACACACACACACACACACACACACACACACACCAACACCCGTTAACACTCGTGTAACCACCACACCACACACACACACCCATTAACCTCGCCCTGTAACACCACCACCACCACACCAACACCCGTTAACACTCGCCCTGTAAACCACCACCACCACACACCGTTAACACTCGCCTGTAACACCACACACACACACACACACACACACACACACACACACACACCAACACCGTTAACATTCGCCCTGTAAACCACCACCACCACACACACACACACACACCGTTAACACTCGCCTGTAATCACCACCACACACACACACACACCGTTATTCATTAACCACCACACACACACACACCCGTTAACATTCGCCCTGTAACCACCACACACACACCAACACCCGTTAATCACTCGTCCAACCACACCACCACACCACCACCACCACCACCACATACACACACACACACCAACCCCGTTAACATTCGCCCTGTAACCACCACCACCACCACACACACACCCGTTAACACTCGCCCTTAACACCACCACCACACACACACACACACACCAACACCGTTAACCTCGCCCAACCACCACCACCACCACTACCACGACGCGCACACCAAGCTCGTGGGTCGGGCATTCTTGTTGTACAGAAATGTTTCATAAAATAAATATGATGACGAGGAAGATGATTCAAGTCCAATCAGGCAGAGTTCGCCCGCATTACTGGCGATATCTTACGACCCCAACAACAGCTCACTACGAAGACTCTAATCAATATGTCATCAAAGGTCACACGACAGAATTATCAAAGGTCACATGACGTTATTATCAAAGGTCAGAGTTTTAAGCCATTTCTTATTTGAGGTTTCCTGAACGACTGGAACAACACCAGATTTGGAAACTTTCTGAACGCCTGGAACAACTTACCTCAGATCTGGAACTTTCTGAACGCCTGGAACAACTTACCTCAGATCTGGAAACTTTCTGAACGCCTGGAACAACTTACCTCAGATCTAGAAACTTACGAACGCCTGGAACAACTTACCTCAGATCTGGCTTTCTGAACGCCTGGAACAACTTACCTCAGATCTGGAAACTTTCTGAACGCCTGGAACAACTTACCTCAGATCTGACTTTCTGAACGCCTTGCTTACCTCAAATCTAGAAACTTTCTGAACGCCTGGAACAACTTACCTCAGATCTGGAAACTTTCTGAACGCCTGGAACTTACCAGATCTGGAAACTTTCTGAACGCCTGGAACAACTACCTCAGATCTGAAACTTTCTGAACATCTGGAACAACTTACTCAGATCTGGAAACTTTCTGAACGCCTGGAACAACACACTCCAGATCTGGAAACTTTTTGAACGCCTGGAACAACACACCTCAGATCTGGAAACTTTCTGAACGCCTGGAACAACTTACCTCAGATCTAGAAACTTTCTGAACGCCTGGAACAACTTACCTCAGATCTGGAAACTTTCTGAACGCCTGGAACAACTTACCTCAGATCTAGAAACTTTCTGAACGCCTGGAACAACTTACCTCAGATCTGGAAACTTTCTGAACGCCTGGAACCATTAGATCCATCACGGTCTTGAGTATAATTAGACATGTTTGAGTGTATGTGGCGAGGATCATTGCACGGCTTGATTCAGTATTGATTATTGCCACCAACAGTGAATAAGGATGTGAACGCACCAACCCATTCCCTCCACGCCAACCCCCCCTCCACACCAACCCCCTTCCTCCATCCAGCCTTCCCTTCCTCCACACCAACCCCCTTCCTCCATTCAGCCTTCCCTTCCTCTCTCCTTCCAACCATGATCAGACCATTTTATTTTTTAACTTTCACGTCACCAAAATGTTATACTGTCATCCGTTGTTACACTCGCTTCCAAAACAACATTCATTCTATTTTCTTTAACTTCGTAACCTGTAATATTAAAAAAACATTCCTTCCTACCAAATCATTCTGCTGAAAATATCATCATTGGTGACATTATCCACTTAACCTCAATCATTCTTATCTAACAGAGGCAAATGAACTTACAGCGCAATCTTTCTGTTTTTTTATGACCCAACTCACTCACAAATTCACTTACTCACTCACAAACTCACTCACTCTCACAAACTCACAAACTCACTCACAAACTCACCCACTCACTCACGCACTCACAAACTCACTAACAAACTCACTCACTCACTCACAAACTCACTCACTCTCACACTCTAACTCACTCACAAACTCACCCACTCACTCACGCACTCACAAACTCACTAACAAACTCACTTACTCACAAACCCACTCACTCACTCACAAGTCCTTGATTCCCCTGGACAAACAACCAACTCCCTAGATTTGTACATCAATGTCATCCAAGGATTAGTCGAAGATTAGACACCTTAATTTATTTCACCTCATTAAACACCCTAACCTAACCTAATGGTAGACCCTGCTGCCATATGTGACCAAGTCCCAGGTTGCTGATCTAACCTTCTGCCTCATTTACACACAATTGCTGGGTCTTAATTGTTTCTCTTACTATTGACAACACAACATACATATATTGTTTCTCACTATTTATCTTTTTTTATTGTTTATTTATTTATGAGACTTTATTATTATTATTATTATTATTATTATTATTATTATTATTATTATTATATTTTTCGTCCCCAAGCCCTGATGTGGGTCATTGACCTGTGCCTGGGTGGGCAAATCCCATAAAAAAACTAACTGTCTAATCTAACTTCTTAACAACTTAATGTAAGCTAACGTAACCTAACTTCAGTATGGGTGTGACCGCATGGGTGTGACAGCGTGAGGTGTGACAGCGTGAGTGTGACGGCGTGGGTGTGACAGCGTGGGTGTGACAGCGTGGGTGTGACAGCGTGGGTGTGACAGCGTGAGTGTGACGCGTGGTGTAACAGCGTGGGTGTGACCGCATGGTGTGACAACGTGGAGTGTGACAGCGTGGGTGTGACGGCGTGGGTGTGACAGCGTAGTGTGACGGCGTGGTGTGACAGCGTGGGTATGACAGCGTGGGTGTGACAGCGTGGGTGTGACAGCGTGGGTGTGACAGCGTGGGTGTGACAGCGTGGGTATGACGGCGTGGGTGTGACGGCGTGGGTGTGACGGCGGGTGTGACAGCGTGGGTGTGACAGCGTGGGTGTGACAGCGTGGGTGTGACACTGGGCTGACTGTTCGCCATCATAAGACAGTTCCTGGTTTGTACTCGACTCGTCCTGGTTAACGTCGATACAAATCCTTTATCCAACTCTAAAATCCGCTTAACGTAATTCTGTAGCTCAATAACCACCCTTAAAGCATTAACCACCCTTAAAACAATAACCACCCTTAAAACAATAACCACCCTTAAAACATTAACCACCCTTAAAACAATAACCAATCTTAAACATTAACCACCTTAAACATTAACCACCCTTAAAACATTAACCACCCTTAAAACATTAACCACCCTTAAAACATTAACCACCTTAAAAACATTAACCACCCTTAAAACATTAACCACCCTTAAAACATTAACCACCATAAAACATTAACCACCCTTAAAACATTAACCCTTAAAACATTAAACCCTTATGGCCTTAATGTTAACTGAGAAGGCGGGGTTAAAGGTTACATCGTGTCGAAGCGGCGCCTGTTCCATTTGCGAACAATGAAAGTGTATGTATGTTGGTGTTGACCTGCGCGTGTGTTTACCTGCGTGTGTTGACCTGCGTGTGTTTACCTGCGCGTGTGTTTACCTGCGTGTGTTTACCTGCGTGTGTTGACCTGCGCGTGTGTTTACCTGCGTGTGTTTACCTGCGCGTGTGTTGACCTGCGTGTGTTCACCTGCGTGTGTTGACCTGCGTGTGTTGACCTGCGCGTGTGTTTACCTGCGTGTGTTTACCTGCGCGTGTGTTTACCTGCGTGTGTTCACCTGCGTGTGTTTACCTGCGTGTGTTTACCTGCGTGTGTTCACCTGCGTTTGTTTACCTTGTGTTTACCTGCGTGTGTTCACCTGCGTTGTTTACCTGCGTATGTTTACCGTGTGTTGACCTGCGCGTGTGTTTACCTGCGTGTGTTTACCTGCGCGTGTGTTTACCTGCGTGTGTTCACCTGCGTGTGTTTTACCTGCGTGTGTTGACCTGCGCATGTGTTTACCTGCGTGTGTTACCCGCGTGTGTTGACCTGCGTGTGTTTACCTGCGTGTGTTGACCTGCGTGTGTTTACCTGCGTGTGTTGACCTGCGCGTGTGTTTACCTGCGTGTGTTGACCTGCGTGTGTTTACCTGCGTGTGTTGACCTGCGTGTGTTTACCTGCGTGTGTTGACCTGCGTGTGTTTACCTGCGTGTGTTGCTGCGCGTGTGTTTACCGTGTGTTGACCTGCGTGTGTTTACCTGCTGGTGTGTTGACCTGCGTGTGTTGACCTGCGTGTGTTTACCTGCGTGTGTTGACCTGCGTGTGTTTACCTGCGTGTGTTGACCTGCGTGTGTTTACCGTGTGTGTTGACCTGCGTGTGTTTACCTGCGTGTGTTGACCTGCGTGTGTTTACCTGCGTGTGTTGACCTGCGTGTGTTGACCTGCGTGTGTTGACCTGCGTGTGTTTACCTGCGTGTGTTGACCTGCGTGTGTTTCGTGTTGACCTGCGTGTGTTTACCTGCGTGTGTTGACCTGCGTGTGTTTACCTGCGTGTGTTGACCTGCGTGTGTTTACCTGCGTGTGTTGACCTGCGCGTGTGTTTTACCTGCGTGTGTTGACCTGCGTGTGTTTACCTGCGTGTGTTGACCTGCGCGTGTTGACCTGCGTGTGTTACCTGTGTTTACCTGCGTGTGTTTACCTGCGTGTGTTTACCTGCGTGTGTTTACCTGCGTGTGTTGACCTGCGTGTGTTTACCTGCGTGTGTTGACCTGCGTGTGTTTACCCGTGTGTTGACCTGCGTGTGTTTACCTGCGTGTGTTGACCTGCGTGTGTTTTACCTGCGTGTGTTGACCTGCGTGTTTACCTGCGTGTGTTGACCTGCGTGTTTACCTGCGTGTTGACCTGCGTGTGTTTACCTGTGTGTAGTTGTATTGTGTGTTTATCTAATAATAATATAATATTTATATAATAATACAGTTTATTGAAAAAGTTCTGCAGCCAGAAGCCTGAAAATATACATTGGTCATAAATGACTTATTACATACATTGGTGGTTTAACAGCCTTCATTAGAAAGGTAAAGGAACATACAGTGACATACAGATTAATGTAGGTAGTAACTTCCTCCCAGATGGTGTAGGAGGGACCTCGTGGTGTAGTAGTTCCCTCACAGATGGTGTTATGAGGACCTCACGTGATGTAGTAACTCCCTCCCAGATGGTGTTAGGAGGGACCTCACGTGATGTGTACTCCTCCCAGATGGTGTTAGGAGGGACCTCACGTGGTGTAGTAGTTCCCTCACAGATGGTGTAGAGGGACCTCACGTGTCTCCCAGATGGTGTTAGGAGGGACCTCACGTGATGTAGTAACTCCCTCCCAGATGGTGTGTTGGAGGACCTCACGTGGTGTAGTCCCTCCCAGATGGTGTTAGGAGGGACCTCACGTGTGTGTGTGTGTGTGTGTGTGTGTGTGTGTAGACATTGGCCAGGAAAACTTGACTAAAAAATCATATCAGTTTAATCAAGGGAAGGTTTCTCTTATCCTAAGCCTTGATTCTGAGAGAGACTACCATTGACCCTGCAATAGGACCCATTAACAGGTAAAACATCTTATCTTAGTAGTACACCCCCCCCTCGCATAAACACATCACACACACAGATGACTTCACCCTGAGGCTCCCATCAATACCTCCTTCTCTTTCCAAAGGCCTAATATGTCATCGATATAACTTCCATTCTTCAAAGTCAGACGAGGTGGAAGGATCTTCATTTTCCATATCGTTTTATTTTCACCGCTCTGACAGTCATTCATTTCTTTACTACTTTATACGGAGCTTAAAATCCTGGATATATTACAACGAGTGATTTACTGTAGCGGAAAAGAATATAATTAAACCCACTATTTTTTTTGTGTGTTTGTGAAATATGAAATGATGATTATTTTGAGAATTATAAATAGTGTTTTTGTGATTATTTGCACTATAATTTATGATGCTTTTTTGTTTTCATTCACACCTAACCTCTCTCTCTCTCTCTCTCTCTCTCTCTCTCTCTCTCTCTCTCTCTGCCATAATGTAATCTCAAACACTTCTCACACTCATCAATCTTCCGAAAGTTTACACAGCCGCTGTCATAACTTCCTCAGCAACAACCACCCAGCCTACCTCTTCAACCATATACCACCACTACCCAGCCTTTGTCAGCCACACACCGCCAAATAACCTTAAGAATCGCCATCAATTATGTCTCCTTAGGGCCACCAGTCACCCGCGTCAACACCTGTTCGGGCCTGTCATTGTATTCGTCTTCCCTCTAACAAGGAGTGGTCTGCCTCTGCTGATCTCGACCATGACAAGCAGCAGCAGCAGCAGCAGCAGCAGCATACACAACAACAAAAACTTACCTGACCTTTCGAACATATAACTGTGGTGTGAGGGAAGCGGGGTGGCGGAGGTGTGTGTAAGCAGGTAGACGTCCTTCATACACCTTTGAGTCAATGTTTGCTCCCCGGGTAAAAAGACGCTGTAACCACATGCATTCTGTGACCATTTTTTTTTTAACATAACAGTATGGTGTAGGTGTTAGTATGCCTGGCAGTTAGTGTGAGGAGGGATTGTCTTGCTTCTATGTTTCCTCAGTGACGTACGTGTTGTCAGGACGAGGGTATGCAAAACAATCTATTTTTCAGTCGAGGTACCAACTCCTGGGCTGATGCAGGGCGGAAATGTCTCAGATTTACCGTACAACCTCGACAGTGATGGTGCAGGGGGACAGTGGGTGATGACGCCCTGCTCTCTATCATTAGACTCAAACTAGAGAAGATTTTATGACAGGAAACACGAAGACAAAATAAGAAACTACACCGGAATTCACTACAAACTTTCAGACCAAGAAAAAAAATGATAATACTTGAAATATTCATAAACATTCCCTCGGGTGAGATTGTCAATGTTTAATAATGTTTATAACTACAATCAAGATACAAGTGATGCGCTTTCACACGTCGTTCTGACCTTTCAAGAGTGAAAGATTCACTCGTGCAAAAAAAGGACAATACTGTGAATTACTGAAGTGTCTTGACATTCACTCCCTTACAACACATTGTTAAATAAATCTGAATGTTAATAACCTCAAATAATAATAATAATAATAATAATAATAATATTTCAGTTATTTTTATGTACAACAACAAAGCAAAGTATGAAGAGGATCAGATTCTATTGACAGTCACAGTGATACCATTTGAGAAGCTCTGCTACCAGCTGTTCCTACTGCCTGCCGCCCCAACACGATCACAACACAAAGAGATCACCACCACCGCTGCATTATGGTGTGTGAACCTTACACTTCTGCGTCTTGCTACATCTGTTACTTAGCTATTATTTGTATCTTCCTTGTTTACTAATTTCTTGTGTTTCAAAAAATATAAAAATATTACTCTGTCGCCTAAACTGAACACGATCATTATTACCTAAATACTGTGGTTCCCCCTCCTCGAAGGTACTGGTGAGTCGTTTTCTTTTATCCTTTTTTTAGTTTTATACAGATGTATTTTGTCTTATATTATATCATATACCTGTATGTTAATCATTATCTAATTTGACATCTTCAGGAATGTTAAAAGTGACAAATTTGGAATGGTGTGTGTGGGGGTGGGTGTAAGTGGCCGTTGTCAGAGTGTGGTTGTGTATGACATTAATTTACAAATTATTTTCATACATTCACCAACAGTCAAGTCCACCACCATTATCAAACAGTATATGACATTACGGGAATTAAAGATGTTTGTTTACATTTAGCAGTGGTGGATCTGTTCCTTAACACTGGAGGAACTGCGTCAGACGTCAACCCCAGCAGCAATACGGACCTGAGTTGGACGATTTATTCTTGGAACCTAAACAATGCGATCCTCTCGTGATTCAGATAATAGTGAGGCTATAGACTGATGTTGAACTGCTTGGTAATTCTCAGAAGCGTTAGTTTCTTTTTATTTATGTAGAGAAGTGGCGGACTAGTGGATACTTTGCTCACCTCTTGTCCTAACGGTTGACTGTTCACGCCAGGGCACCT